TGTTAAAGCTTTCTAAAGCTTGTATCTTCTTCCTCCCATAGGTAGTCAGTGAGTAGGTGTATGCTGAAGGGATATGGAAATTAATTTTATGAATGATCTGTTATCCCATCTTGTCATTTGTTCCAAAAGTTCTGGGAGAAAGACTTAGTTTTCTTTGTTAAGAAAGTAAGTATGAGAACTTGGAAAAAATCAGAAAAGTCCAAAAAGAATTCACTGTCTTGTGTTAGGAGATAAGAAGGAAGTTTGTAGGGTCTTATTTCATAGAATACAGAATAAGTAAGATTTCTGCTTACTTACTCCATCCACTCCATTATGCTGGATAAAAGAGTGGGTCAGGAAGGAACCAGGTGCCTTTATGTTCCTGTTCAGATCCATTTGTGCTACAAGGAGAGGAACTTTCTATAGGAAGGTAAATAGCCAGCCTTGACAATTAGGGATGAGTGCACTGAAGGCTGGGTGAGACTTGTACTGCTGGGGATGGAGAGAGGGCTGGGAATAGAGTGTGAGTCTCATCTGTTAGTGGCAGAACTGACACTGATGAGTAAAATGTCCCTTTTCTACTGCTACTCTCCTGCCACTTGCAGCCATTCCTATTCAAGGCATGTTATTATCAAATCTTGTGGGGAGCCCCTCGAGAATTTGCAGTTGATAACTAAAATAAACTCCTTTATGTTCATAATGATAAAACAAAGCATTGAGTCATTTGAGCTGATTTTACCCAAGACATTTCCTGAATTATTGCTCTCTCGCAGCTGTCATGGGCTTGAAGCTTTCAAAAGCCCATTTTGTTTCTATGTGTAGCTCAAAGGCTGGGGCCGTACCCCTGGGTTTCCTTTTGCAGCTCAAAGAAGACCGAGTGATGCGGCTCCTCAAAGTTAAACAAAAAATCCTCACGGTTAATGAACTTGTCTAATTTTATGCAGAAAATGCTGCCATCTTTCCTTTTAAAACTGACACCAAATTCCAAGTTGATGCCAATGGGGATAATTTCAAAAACACCTCAGACTTGGATGTAAATCCCTTTGACTTTCAGCAAGACCTACGTGCTCCTAGATATTTTTCTGGAGAAGTTTTCAGTTGTCATAGCCTTTCAGGCAGCATCACACAAACCTACCTGGCTCCTCTTAAGGGCTGTGGCTGAGCAGTGAGAATTGGTGCCTCTAACTCGGCTGAGCAAATCTCATTTACTGTAATTGGAGAGTACCCCAGAAACAAAATGATGTGTCACTACTACTAAAAGTCTCCAAAATTGCTTTATGATCATCCTTTTCTATTCTTAGGCATGATGTTGGGTGTCTTTATATTTTCAGCAGTGAGCATCAAAATAAGAAGAAAACAACCCATGCACAGAAAGCCTAATAATGACCCTAAAATGATTAAATTCCTATGCAGATGAGTGGGTAGAAATGCTCTTGTCTCTACTTTGAGATCAAGTTGGCCTAAATTATATGGCATCGATTACTGAATTTAGAATAATAATGGTGCACTGGATAGAATGGAGTGATGTTAAATCAGGGATGTACAATCTTTGCTGAGATCCAGTCAGAGTTCTTCATCTGATTTATGATTCAAAATTTAGGTCAGGTGGATTGATTCCTAATAGAGACATAATGAATCAAAATTCCTAGAATGGCTTTATTTTGCACAGAAGTGTCAACAAGCTGTACTTCTCTATTTGTGCACCTGGCGTGTAATGATTCTCTTGCAAAAATCATAATCCATCAAGTCCTCCATTCAAGAATATCAATCAGTGCCAGGAACAAGACTATTTTAGCCAGGAGTTCTCAGTCATTTTGTTTTCCTGTTCATGAACACATAAGGCGCTGTGACATTTAAATTGTGCTTTGACATGTAATCATTAAATGTTTGAAAACAACTCATTCAGTTTTTGTTGCCTCATCCATTTGCTTACACTGGCTTCTTGTTTTGCCATTGTTTCAGCATCATTTTTTTTAAAAGCATATGATACTCCTTACTATTGCTTTTAATAGCTGGAGGCAAAATTATCTCAATTTTCTGACAACAAAGGTACTTGTTGTATTAGAAAACTAAAACTAATGAGAAGTTTATTCCTCCACTGATGAAAATGGAAACAAAAAAGCCCCAGACCTTTCTTTTTACAAACTGGTCTTGACATAACAAGCCAACTTTATGATGTCTTTCATAAAACTCATGATACAGAAAGGAATGTAAATTGATGGGAGCTTCTCACTAAGATTTATGCCTTACTTGTTTCTCTGTGTTACATGTATCTTTTTTCCAGGGTAAAAGTGAAGTGATATGATCAGGACACTGTAATTCTCAGCCTTCTGACAATGTCATTCAATGTGCATCTCTTCTTGATGGGGATTTCTTCTTTCTCCTCTTGGTGAATCGAAGTATAAACTTCTAAGCCCAGAGCTTGGTGGTGCAAGGTGCTGTGGAGATACCACAGAGAAGTGGTGTCTTTCCTATAGAGCATGACTAAGAGAACACGTTATTTTTTATGTTGGTCACTGAGTTACAAAAAAATCAGTTTTAAATAGCTCTAAGGTGGAGACCTCTCTGGCTCTGACAGAGCTGGAGGTGATCTTTGTACCTCTTCTTCCTAATGCTTGGGTGAAAAAATTGCTGCTGGCAGAAAGATTGGAGATCTTTAACTTTTCTTCGCCTTTACAGAGAGCTGCACTGTTTGATGTGCTGGATGCAGGCACATCATCTAAATTTCCAATCTTGCTTTTAGTACAAGCAAGCTAAAATTAAGAATGACAAAGTCTTGGTGTCTTTTAAGATGGTTGTGTCCTTAATACCTACCTCTGCAACGTGCACAGATCAAACTGCTCAGCCCTTGCAGGCATGCCCAGAGCTTTCCCCTCCAGCACAAGGAGATACTACGTGCTCCCAGCTTTCTGTAGATCACCTGTTTTCCCTTCTTTGTAATTCTGTGCATAACTGAGAAAATTATCCCTCACTTCTTCCTGGTGCAGATTGCTGCAGCTGCTTGCAGTCAGTGGGGCTGTGCCAGATTGCACCAGAAGTGAGCCTGGCTAGGAGCCAGCGCTTGGCACAAACTTGCTGAAAGCTGTGTACAAGCAAGGCTTCTTGCTATTTATGTTACTGCCCTTTTGTTTTGGATATAAATATGTCCCATACGTGCTAGTAAGCCTCTTGCTCACTATTTCAATGGAAAATCCTGTAAAACATCTGTCATACTGTCTCCCATCAAATCAGTTACAGACGCGTGTGTCATTCCACATAATAAACAGGTATGAAATTGTCTTTATGCAGTGTGCCAGCCCTTGTCACCACGAAAGGAAATGAGGGAAGCTTAAAAAAAAACAACAAAACACCACCCTGAAGGCTGGTGCTCTGACTGAGAGCAAAGAGACAAGCAGAAAGTTTGTGAGAACTAAGTAATGAACAAACTATGACGGGTGTAAAAAAGCTCCTGACTTGTCTGCCTTCCTCTGCTATCTGCAGGCAAAGCTGCTGGCACAGCAGCCCCAGTGCTGGCCAGATCTGTTGTGTACCAAGGGTGACTGCTAATTTTTACTGATTTTTTTGCTGGGTGACTTTGGGTGACTTGGTCCTATTGAGGGACCTGCAAGGACATCCCTGCTCAAGGGACCCAGAATATATTAGAATTATAGAACCTTTAAGGTTGGAAATGACTACTAAAATCATCCAGTCCAACCTCAACTTACGCCCACCATGCCCACTAACCACGTCCTCCATTGCAGCATCTCCACAGTTCTTGAACACCTCCAGGGACAGTGACTCTATCACTCCCTGGGCAGCCTGTGCCAGTGCATCACCATTCTTTCTGAGAAAATATTTTTCCAAATATTCAGCCTGAATCTATCTATCTTGCAATGCTAGAGGCAAAACTCTGCCCTGCTTCCACTGCAGGCCAGCATCAGCCTGGGAAGACCTGAACAAACATGGGCCGTGTCTGAGAGTCCATTCGCTCCCTATTTCATAGGCATGCTGTCAAATTCATTAAACTTTTACAAAGCTCTGCTTGCACCTGAACCAGTGATGACGAAACTGCTCAGCGTGCTCCGGGCCCGCTGGTGATGCACTGATTAGCAAAGTGCTGCTGGGCACCACATGCCACACGCAAATCAAACCTGTGAGACAGGCTTTTAGACAGAGATGCTGAAAGCAAAAGTGTGGCTGTAAATCAGAGCGTGACTCTTTCTGGAGAACATTTCTAAACAGCGTCATGGGAAAATGCCTGTTTAAAAACATTATTATATTCACATCATTGAGGACTGAAGCATCACAGGGAAGGACAAGAGGTATTTTACTCTGGGCTTCAGTGAATGACGGTTTTAAGAAATCATTACAACTCACTGCATTTATGTAGTGGATCAGGCACAAGGAATTGACCTCACAGAAACAGTAGGCATTGATTCATTGTGGCTAGCAAGAAGGCACTGGTCCTGGACTACAGACTCTGCTCATCCTCATTTGCTGAAGTCATGTGGAGATGTATCCCTATGCAGCCAGCACAGATGAAGGAATAGGAAGCATCCTCTTCACACTGGCTGATGTGCTCACAGGAGCCAAGCCCCAGTACTGGGGTCCACTCTGAGTTTTGCAGACTGCTTCAGATACACCTTTGGCAGACGCAGGTAGTTGATGGTGGTAACATCCCACCCTGCTGCAGCCCCCTGTTAATTTTACTACAGTATCACTTTACCAGGAGCTATTACAGCCAACCCCAACCAAGGCATCGTGCACATCTATACAATCAATAAGTGTATAAAGGTTAGGCTAAATAGGATTATCATGGTGGAAAGATAATAAACAAAAAAATGCTTACTGACATCGTAGGCTCACAATAAACTCCACAAGGAGCAATCTCCAGAAAGAGATCCTTCCTCAGTGGCAGTCAGCACTTAAATGGGATCTAGGAGAGGTGGAGCCAGGCTCCACTCCTTCTGGTAGCACAGGTGAATTGCCTTCACCTGTGTTCCTGTGGCTGATTCATTACTTGCCTCAGGTGGTCAATCAGAAGTTCAGGCTGTGATCAACAATTCCCATACACTATCAAACTTACACTAGGCAGGGTGAACCCCATCTAATCTGTGTGGGTTGGCGAAGTTTGCATGATATATTCACTTTGACACGCTGTACTAATAATCCATGCAGCTTGCAGTGCAGGAGGCTGGGGAGCAGGTTGTCAAAACAGCACCGTTTTCATTGAGGAAGGCTGTGGGATCTGAAAGCCCAGAATGGTACCTATCAGGTACATGGTACAACCTGCTACAGATGCTCCTCTGCAGGCAGAAATAGCTGTCCTGGAAGGGAAGGATACAGGAGTCAGCATCTAACTGAGGCCCAGACAGGCCAGAGGCCAAGCCTTGTCATGGTCCAAGTGCCTGCTGGCTGCCTGTGGACCTACCTTCTGTCTGATCTAGGCCCCACCAGCAGTATAGGCTGGCTGCTTCTGTGTCTCTCTGGTGACATGCCAGCTGTGAGCATCTCCTCTGTAGGATCCTAGCTGTCTTTCCAGCTTTCATAGAACCACAGAATAGCTTGGGTTAGAAGGGACCTTAAACATCACAGCTTTATCCTGGCCCCCCTTCTCCCTCTACACTTATTCAGATTTTCTCAGGCTTCAACTTGGTCCATGCTGATGACTTAAGTATTGACTTCAAGCTCCCAAATCACAGTCCCAGCTTTCCTTTGTGACATATCCTTGTGGATATCTGGCCACCAGCCCAAGCCCTTTGCCTCCAAGCTAGGCTTCCATCCTTAGCATAGGTGCATTGGATCCACCAGCAGTAGGTCTACGGAGAGAAGAGGGATCGAAAAAGGTATTACACAGATAAACACAGAATCATAGAATCATAGAATGGCTTAGGTTGGAGGAGACCATAGAGCCCACCAGTCCTAACCTCCTGCTGTGGGCTGGTTGCTACCCACCAGCTCAGGCTGCCCAGGGCCCCATCCAACCTGGCCTTAAGCACCTCCAGGAATGGGGCACCCACAGCTCTCTGGGCAGCCTGTGTCAGTGCCTCAGCTCTGAGTAAAGAATTTCTTCTTAACATCTAACCTAAATCTTCCCTCATTTAGTATAAGGCCATTCCCCCTTGTCCTATCACTACGAGACCATGTAAAAAGTCAATCCCTCTCTTCTTTGTAAGCTCTATTCTTTGTAAATACTTGGCACATGCTTAAGACTAGTTTAGTTTTGTACAGACAGAAGAATTGCTAGGACAGGATAATTAGCTAATTAGCTAAACATAATGCCTAAGTCTTTTGTTTTCATCCTTATGCCAACTTTATTTTTAAACTCCCTCCCCTCCAGCCAAAAATACAGCTGTTTCTTAAAATTTTGTGATTAATCTTGGTTCCCATTGTAACCAAGAACAAAAAATCCCCTTCATTACACTGTGACCAGGGTTTCTGCTAAGAGGATTTGAATGATGTTTCTTTTTGCATTTCACATTAAATAGAGAATAGCATTTTATCTTAAAAAGCATTTTGGGGAGAAAAAATCTTATTTAAATTATTATTTCTTTAGATGCACTGTTTACAAATCCTCTTGCGAAAATATTGTCAAAATCATCCTAGATTTAAAAAAATATCTGGAGAGAAATTGAATAAAATTTCAAATTTTGCATAAAAATAAGGAGTTGCTCTCACCGAATGCTTTTACATTTAACACAAAGCAAGTCTGAAATTCAGCACAAATCGAAGTTTTCACTCCTGTTTGTTTTTACTTCCCTTCCAGTGATTTATTACCTTGGCACCCTGCCACACTGTCTGAGCAGCCTTTCATTACTCTGCTCTTTTCTTTGGGCATGATGAAACTTTCTGGCTCTTCGATGCCGCCCCAGCAAGGATGTGCAAGGAGCAAGCACACGTCCCCACGTAAGCACTGTTGCCAAACACCTACCTCCACCACCGGCTTGCGCTCTCCTGCAAATCTGGTGTGTGCCTTGGAGGATGGGAGATGGCTGCACAAACCCAGGGAAAAATAAAATGAAAGGCCATTAATTAAATAAATTAATCAATTAAAAGCCAAACCCATGCCCCAAAACTTTCTTTCTGCTTGCACGCAAATTTATTTTTCTTTAAATTTCTGCTGAAGGGTGGGAAAGGCTGGGGGGGAGCAGGGGTGCGACGAGCCCTCCCAGGAACGGGAAGGTCATGGCAGAGCCCCAGGGAGCCAACTGGCTTCATCATGTGTGTGTTTTGTATACGCCCAAGCCTTTGCTTTCTGCATTTGTTTTGTGCCTCTCACCAAGGCGTTGCAAACTCAGAGCAACAAGTCCAGGGCATTTACTCATTGGTAGTGGTGTTTTGAAATACTCAGCCCTGTGATTTTTCTTCAAGCCAGCTTCATGATTGTTGTTTTGTCCCAGCTTGTCAGTTAGGAGCTGCTGGAGTCAGCACCAACACAATGAGCATGAGAGCAGAGCTGCTCATGCAGTTGGAGTAGAGGAGAAACAAATAGCTGGGCTGCTCCCACAGGAACAGCATCAGCTAAATGTCAGTCACCCCACCCATGAAAATGTAGAGCCATACCTCCAGGTGCGTTTGTATACACACAGCATCTGGATGGATCTTCATGAGATCTCCTGCAGGCTGGCTCTATAACCTGACCGCAGTAGAGGTTGTGAAATTCATGGCCTTTCACAAGTCTTGCTTGTGACAGCCTGGCTTTGCCCATGGCTCAGGACACTCAATTCTCCTGTTAATGAGGCTTTAATTAGGTAGAGCTACTTGGGAAATGTTTTTTTTTGCACTCCATCAAAGACACAGAGGTCTTGAGCATTGCCCCGCTCTGCAATTGAATGAACAAGGTCACAAAGGTGGCTCAGTTGCCATTTTTGGGGGTGCATTTAAAATTTTTTTGGTTAAAACCCCACCTCAGATACCACATAACACCCACTACCATGCTGCCCAACCACGTCCCATGGCAGAGCCTGCACGAGGCAGAGGTGTCTGCCAGGGAAAAGGCTGCAGCAAAACCCTGTCGTGGGTCAGCTCCTCTGTCAGGTCACCTCGGTGTGCTGAGACAATGGCTGTGAGGGGGGCTACAGCAAGAAGCCTTGAAGCATGAGTTTAGCTGACCTCAAAGGTTGAGAAATTAAGAATAAATAAATAAATATTTAAATTCTTCAAGAAGAAATTTTCCCCATATGTGTTTTCTGGAGGCAGGATGGCATCTAATATGATTTTTGAATACATTATTTTGCCAGTAGAAATTTCCATTTCTACTCATTAGCCAACACTTGAATATGTAGATTGCCGGGTATTGCATCTTCTATCAATAAGATCTTGTTAGCTGTGATCCAGATAACCCAATCTTCACACAGGCAATGCTTTTGTAGCTTGTGCACCGCACACGTAGTGATTCAGTCAAAACCTTCTTGTCCATCTCCTGACTGAAATTACTTGAGTGTATGTGACTTCTGAAGATATTTAAAGCTAAGCACGAAACCAACAGATTCCAAACTGAAAGCTTGTACTATTTCTAGTGAAATCAATAGCATTGTTCATCTATTGGAAAATGCACGGAGGAGGGCAAGAAAATTGGCAAAGGGCATGCAAAGGTTGCCATATGCTGAGTGCTAAAAAGAACAGGACTTCTCCAGAAAGTAATGGCTGGGAGGGAAATGATGTAAAGGCAGAAATATCTAGAAGAGGATGGACAGAGTGACTGGGGAAGGGTTTTATCCACAAGAACAAGAACAAAGGCCACCACCACTGGGTGTTTTGAACAGCAGGCTCCAGTAAACACAAGGAAGGTCTTCCTCACCTGACACTTGATTGTGCCATGCCCTGTCTGCCTCCATGGAAACCTTTGTGTCTCAAGTGGTCAGCCAAGTCCGGTTCTGCTGTTCGCAGACTAGAAAGATCTGCTCCTTCTGTAACAGGATGGATATTGGGTTGGCAAGAACAGGTCACATAACAGTTAGTCTGAAGTATTTAATTCAGCTAAAACTTAATCTTCTCTTCGTACCAGTGACTAATTTGCCAGCCCCAGAGGAAGCTGGGCAGCTCCAGTTTGCCATACAGCACCTGGCGCTTTTCACAGTGTCAGTTGCCAGTCTGGAGCAATCAGTCAACTACTTAATAAGCAAAACACTTGAAACCTTTTGTGGTATTTTTCTTTGTTAATATAAAGAGGTGACACACATGTCTAAGCAGCACTGACTCGCCTCATGCTACTTTATATGAATGCGTATAAACACCTGCGACCTGCCATCCCTTCATTTGTCAGTGGGGAGCAATCATTCAGCCACTTAACAATTGCCAGGAGAGAAGCTCTGAGGCTTTCAAACTGGAAATTAAAGAGCAGCACTTCGGTGAGTGATTGCAGTGCCCTGATGAAGCATCCTGGAGTCTTGAAAACAGCCATGCTTTTTGTGTACATTTATGAACAGTTGACAGCTGATTTCTTACTCTCATTTCTAAGGAGGCTGGGTAAATTCTGTAATTAATGGTCATTAGGGATTTAGAAGACAAATGAGTTATTCATTAGCTCGATGTCCAAACTAATGAGCAATAAATGCTTATGAAAGACATGATTTATTTAGTATTTAGAACCTGTGTCATTATGTGATACCTGATGAAGATGCCAAGAAATTGAGATGACCTACGCCCCAGAGCCACAAGAGACAGCCACGTGCTTCTCAGGAGCACGAGTGCCAAGTCTGGGGGACTCCTGGAAGTCAGCAGCCCTTGCATGACTAATGAGGGTCAGCCCAGCCAGCCAAGACCAAATTTCCTCCCACTGTTGGATGCCTTCTAGTGCCTGGGTGCAGGATAATCATTCCTGGCTATTTGGGAGAGCCTATCCAGGGCATTCAGTAAGCACAGGGCACGGTCCTAGGCTGCACATTGTTGTCCCAGAGCTATTTGTGGTCTTCCCATTGATATCACCCAAATGAACAATCCAACTGTAGCAGAAGAGCCCACCTATGCTGCTGCCCTATAACCATTTGTTGCAATCTGTGATCATTCAAGGTTTTCCATTCACCTCACCTTTTCTTCCCTCAGACAGGGTTGGAATTACAGTAGTCAAAAACAAAGCCAGCATGTCAGAATGTCAAAAGCAATGAAAACTGCAGGAGAGTAAGTTACTCCTTGTCCCAAGAAAAATCTTATTTTGCACCCTACTTAAGCAAACCAGGAGAGACAAAGTAGGTGGCAGCTGTAGGGATCTCCACACATGGCTCCATGTACAATGGGTTGGAGTACGTCTTGAGTGACCAAATAAAAGACATAAAAAATGTTTGGTGTGGCAAGAGTATCTGTCCCATGACACCTCCATTGCCTCCATTGCCATCTTTCAAAGTCACGAAAATCTGACCTTTAATTAAGACATTCTTAAAAGGTAGATGTCACTGAGATGTGCTGAAGCAGATAATGAAGAAATCTGAAAAATAATTCAGAATAAAAAGATCTCTTTGGATGTGTGATTTTTGGCACCGAGGTCCTGTGAGCCACAAGTAGTGAATGCAGAGAACAAGGTAAGCTCATTTTGCTCCTGAACCACCTCCACCACATTCCTGCCCGGAATGAGGAGAGCAAGCACAACATCCCAAGGTGGAGGAAAGAAGGTAAGAGAGCACGTTGCTTGGCCCTGCAGTGCTTGCATGCCTGTGGCTCTTTATTTGAGATGCTGGAAGCTGTTGCCAGCAGTGCAAATCAGGCTCTTGATGTCTTCCATGTCTTCACAGAAGCTCCCCCCACCTTGCCTTTCTTTGGCGAGGCACAGGGTTGCTTTTCCAAACTTGGGAGACTTGAGGGGGATCCTTGAAGGGACCACAGGTTCCTCTCACTTGACCATGTCAAAGCTCAGCCTCCAGAAGGCTTTGTGTTGACCCTTCCCATCTCAGAGCTGCTGAATTAATCCTGTCCATCTTGGCAGAGTGCTGTGGTTCCCAATGACGAGCAAGCAAAATGGTGCTTGAATAGGACAAGTGATTTTGTGAAACATTGGCACAGACTGATTTATACTAGTTAAGAAAGACATTTATTGTTTCCTTGCTTAAGCAGCAGCAGCGAAGGTAATGCATTCTCCCTTGCTGTTTTGAAGGAGGTTGTAGCCCTTTTTAATGTGTGACCTTCAAGCTCTACAGAAAAACTTACAAATGAAAAGCTCCTGTGAGTAATCCCATTTGTAGTCACTGTAGTTGCATTCTGCAGAGGTTTGGTATAAATCTCTTACCTTGGAATAGCAGGTGATAAAGTAAGGATGTTTTCTTTATTTTTAATAAATGGATTATTTGGCATTCAGAAATCTTCACTTAAGCCTCAGGCTCTGAATTATGCTATTGCAAAAAATATTTTTAACTTAATTGGAGAGTGGTTCTAAAAAACTGTAGCTCTGGCTATGGTGGGCCCTTCTGTCAGAGAGCCAGCCCTGGGTGATGCTGTATACCTGTGGGGTTACGTGGGTGTGCAAAACTCAAAATGCAGCGTGGGCTGGATTGCCCAAGTCCTTTGCAAACACTTCTGATTAACTCAAGGATGAATGAGAAAATGGGGTGTGGGGGTCATTTTTCTTGTCTTCTTGTCTCCTTAGTCAAAATCTCTTTCTTGGCAGCTTGTAGAAGTTCATAAAATACAAGTGACAGAAGAGTAGTTTTTTTGGCAGGGCCAGAAGCTGCTCAGTCATGACAAGCATCTTCTAAGGGCACCCAGTCCAGAGCACCAGTGGGCATTTGGCCCCACCAACCCCTGAGGCTTGTAAGGGGTCAACCTTGGCAACTGAAGAGCTGTTTGGGTTTCTTGGGGTTTAATATTTGCCATCCAGAATGTTGGTTTCAAACTGGACAAGAAGGTGAGCTGGACTCTTGCTTTTTCATTAATTTTATTATATGGATGGGGGTGCGATATCAAAAAGAAAGTGTGAGGGATTGAAAGCAAAGTTCACTTACTCATTATACAGAATGAGTGCAGAAATTACATTTTCCCCATAGCAAACAGACTTGATTTTGAACATCTGCACAGACAAAGCAACTGGGGGCAGACAAATGGATCCTGGCAGGGAAACGGGTCTCTGTGGTAAGTTCAGCTGAAAACTGGGACTTCTTTGACTGAGCAATGAGCCTGGAAGAGCTGCAGTTTGTTCACAGATGGGCATGATGTGCATGGGTATATATGTGTTGGCAGGAGAGTCTGCCCTGTGTCCACAATGAGGCTGATAGAGGCCATGACCTATCGCTCACAGAGTTCCCTAAATCTCTGCTCTTAAAGGGATGCAGCAAATGCATCTTCCTTCCCTCATGAAGACATCAGGCTTCAATTGTAAGAAAATAATTTATTCTCTTTAGACCACATATCAAAATATTCTCATCTGTCTCTTTACCTGTTGTAAGGAAATGCGTCATCTCTCACCTGAGCCTTAGAAAACCAGCCCTTCCTCTTGCCTGCTCAGAAAATGCGTGCTGAGGAGCAAATCCCAAGCCCTTTGCAGATAATGGGAGCGCTGGAAGCATTTGAGCCATGAAACAACTTCTCAGTGTCGAGGCTGTCTCATCTGTGGTCAGTATTTAAGATACAGAAAACTTGGTGGGATGATTTTAAAGATGTTCTTGGGGACTCTGGAGCTCAAAGAATGAAACACATTTCTGCAAAACAGCTGAGAGTGAGATCACAGACTTGAATCAAAGAATCACAGAATGGATTGAGTAGGAAGGGACCTCAAAGACCATCTAGTTCCAATTCTGAAGAAGTGGGTACTGCCAATTGCTTGGGCAAGGTCTGAGTTTTGGATTCCTTGAATGCTTGGTCTAGTTCGGTGGTTAAGAGATAGGAGGATAGAAGATGGGCCAAGACATTCTCAGGTTACTGCTCCATGATGGGCAGGCCGTATGGGACAGAGCATTGTTTTGATATATTCTTAAAAAAAAACAAACAAGCCAGCAATGCAGTGACTCACACGAAACCAAACTCCCAAGCTGCTGTTCATCAGCAAGTTCAGTCACCAAGCCACCATGCTCACTAATAGCACCCTCTCTCCTATGAGCTTCTCTGTGCATCTTTATTTTGTAGTTAGAGGCAGACAAACAATTTATGGATTTCCTGTTTGGCATCATTCTATTTGGAATGGGCTTTTTTTATTTTTTATTTTTTTTACCAAAGGAAAAAAAAGTAACGTGAAGTATTTGAAATGTTTTTGGAATATTTGTTGTGATTAAAATCACGTTGCAGCTGGGATTGTTTCACCTGCTTTGCAAGAGCTTGGTCAGCTTGGAAATGAGAAGAATTGCTCTGAAGTGCAAAGTCATCCCCTGGGAAGTGAGAAAAGAAAATTTCCAAGGGAAAATGCTCAAACCAGTTCAACATGTTTTTTTTTCTTGTGAAGTGACTGAAAGCACTTGTCATATTTGACTCTGTTGCTTTTTTTAAACTTGCCTCTCCCCCTCCCCTTCCTAAAATTGCATATCTCAGTGAACTTTTACTAAAAATGTAGAGACTTTGTGCTCATAATCAGACATCACGCTATAACAGAGAAAGCGTAACATTTCTTTGCCCATTTCTGGTGTTTACCATGAGAAGCACACAATAAAAGGAAGGCCTTTTAAAATACCTTATGTTATTCCAGGATTGAGATGCTTTGGCAAGGATAATGCTTCACTTCATTGAAATCTTTTACAGTTAAACAAGTTTTAATATTTGTATAGTTGGAGATATAGATTCCTCTGTACAAATATTTGGAATTTCAATTGTAAAAAAAAATAAATTCCTGAAGCTGCCATTAACTGCCAGCATTTCCACCCTGCCAACAAACAAGCAAGCATTGTCCCTCTAGAAAAGGACAATAAGGATGCCCCAAATGTTTTTTATTAAAA